TCAGCATGGTGTGTTCACAAAGAGTGGTCAATGCATTGGGTCAACCACCAGTAGACCCGCTTTTCAGTCCCACCAAGGTCAACTCAAAGGGGTGGAAGAAGAAGGCATTGGGGTCCGGCATCGACAGCCCTGTCGTGCCCCTCTGTGGTTACAATTTTGACATTCCTGGACAGGGATTAATAAGCATGTGCATTTTGCGATGGACTCCAGAATGGCTTTTGCGGGAGTTTGGAATGGTCTCGAGGAGATATTTTGCTCCTCGGACAAAATGGGGAAGGAGGGATTTTCCGCCAACGAAATCGGCCCATTGCACGAAACTAAAGCAACTCTTGGTTCAGACAGGTAAATTGGGCCAGAACCGTTTAGGGCTTTATAGGCTAAAGCCAGCATTTTGAATTATGCTCGATAGCAGACTGGCAGCCAGTGGAGCTGACATAACAGGGGGTGTCCTCTCTCTGCCAACCTAGCAGTTCGAAACCATGCAAATGTGAGTTGATCAATAGGTACCGCTCCAGCGGGAAGGTAACGTCACGTCATGCTGGCCACATGACCTTGGAGATGTTTATGGATAATGCCGGCTCTTTGGCTATGAACTCTTTAGCAGCAGACACAAAGCAGATTCCATTGGAGTGAAAACATCAGTATCAAGGTCCTGCTACTGATTTATAGCCCTTAATTCCCCACGCAGGAGGTGCTAGGACGTCTCCCAATTAGCTCAGCGTTTTTAGCAGCTATTCTAGCTGAACGTCTTTAGCAGCAGACACAAAGCAGATTCCATTGGAGTGAAAAAATAAGTATCAGAGTCGTCGTTACCAGCGAAAGCTGACTGCTCCTGCTACTGATTTTTAGCCCTGAGTTCCCCATGCAGGAGGTGCTAGGGCGTCTCCCAATTAGCTCAGTGTTTTTAGCAGCTATTCTAGTGGAACGCCGTCTGTGCTCTGTCTCTTTTCATCTCTGTAGAAATGTGGGCACTTTCAAAACCTCATTGTCTGATTCTTCTTCTGCCTCCAATTCCTGAGCACTTCCCTGCTCCTCTTCCGAAGATGAGGAATCCCTAACAATATGGTTGTCATAAGTCCCACGGTGGCACAGTGGGTTAGAATGTTGAGCTGCTGAACTTGGTGACCAAAAGGTCGTAGGTTCGAATCTGGAGAGCGGGGTGAGCTCCCGCTGCTAGCCCCAGCTTCTACCAATCTAGCAGTCTGAAAACAGTTTGTGAGTAGATCAATAGGTGGGAAGGTAACGGTGCTACATGCAGTCAGGCTAGCCACATGACCTTGGAGGTGTCTATGGACAACGCAGAGTCGGACATGACTGGACTTAACATCGGGGGAAAGCTTTTACCTTTACCTAAGTCAAAGTCAGTGCAGTGGTTAAAGGCTTAACTACGGTTCTGGCCCAGCTTAGTTGTCCGAACGCATCCACCCCTACGTCCCACCTCATAATCTAAGATCATCCGGAGAGACCCTGCTCTCACTCCTGTCATCAGCACAGATGCGTCTGGCAGGGACGAAAGACAGGGCCTTCTTGGCTGTGGCCCCCCGCCTATGGAACACACCACCAAATGAGGTAAGATCTGCTCCCTCCCTTCTGTCTTTTAGACAACGGGCAATGAACTAAGTCTTTAGCAGCAGACACAAAGCAGATTCCATTGGAGTGAAAACATCAGTATCAGGGTCCTGCTACTGATTTTTAGCCCTGAATTCTCCACGCAGAAGGTGCTAGGGTGTCTCCCAATTAGCTCAGCGTTTTTAGCAGCTATTCTAGCTGAACGCCATCTGTGCTCTGTCTTTTTTCGTCTCTAGAAAACTCCCAACAACCCAGATTCTTAAATCCTTCCTCTTGCATACCCAGAGTAGTGTGATTTTGGGAATCTTCCAAACCGTTCCTCCTTTCTAATTTTGAAGAGTATTATTATTATTGATGTCATGATGACAATTGGGTTTTCGTGGTGATTCAAAGCCTGCTTCTGGAGTCCAAAGCATGAGATGCACATGGGGAAAATGGGAAGTTTCTGTGTTTTTGTGAACATAGGTCAAATTGCGAAACTAAACCCAAACACCACTGGAATTTGGACTGGCCCATTTCAGCCAGATGTGGAGGACCCAATAGCTGCCTAAAGTCTGCCTGCACTTAGCCAGCTTTGTATGCTGTCGGTTTGCTGCTTGGCAACATGATGAAAGTATGTTGTGTTTGCTATAATATATATAAATGTTTATATATATATATATATTTAACAAGACAATATTAATCTTAAATGTGCATTGCTGCCCCCTTTTCCCCCCGCATTCCCTTCCCCATGCTTTTTCCAATCATCTTGTTGCATTTATGTGGTAACTTAACAAATGTCTTGTCTGTTGTTTAACAAAACTATTGTTTCCTTTACTTTTTTTGCTGCTCGTCGTGGGGTGGGGAGTGCTTTGGAAAGTTTTGGTACTGAATTGACAATACCGCAAGAACATTGGTCCTTAAATATCCACATCAACAGGGGGCAACTTGTACCACACACAATTCCGTGCAAACTTGGTGATTTACTAATGTTTTCTTGAAATTAGTTAACTTTCCGTCCCCATAAGAGAAGGGGCTGATTTGGTTCACAGAGAAAGAGCTTTTGTTTACAATATTTTGTGGCTGTAACAATGAAAAACTGTTTATATTGTTGTTGTTGTCGAAGGCTTTCATGATCAGAACCACTGGGTTGCTGTGAGTTTTCTGGCCATGTTCCAGAAGCATTCTCTCCTGACATTTCAGCCACATCTGTGGCAGGCAACCTCAAAGGTTGTGAGGTCCTCTGAGGATGCCTGCCATAGATGGGGGTGAAACGTCAGGAGAGAATGCTTCTGGAACAGGGCCATACAGCCCAGAAAACTCACAGCAACCCAGTTCTTCTTGTTTTTGATGGCTATTAGGTAATATCTTTTGACATTATGAGATGAGCAGAAACCAAGGGCAGTGGAGGTGGAGCAGCTCCAAAACTTAGTTTTGTATCGAAACCCCACCTCAGATAGATAGGTGAGAAGATAGTACAGTAGGCCCTCACATCGTGGAAAGGATCCATTCCAGGACTCTTCTCCTATCTTTTGACATCATGAGATGAGCAGAAACCAAGGGCAATGGAGTTGGAGCAGCTCCAAAACTTAGTTTTGTATGGAAGCCCCACCTCGGACAGATAGGTGAGAAGATAGTACAGTAGGCCCTCACATCGTGGAAAGGATCAATTCCAGGACTCTTCTCCTATCCTTTGACATCATGAGATGAGTAGAAACCAAGGGCAGTGGAGTTGGAGCAGCTCCAAAACTTAGCTTTGTATGGAAGCCCCACCTCAGACAGATATGTGAGAAGATAGTAGAGTAGGCCCTCACATCATGGAAAGGATCCATTCCAGGACTCTTCTCCTAACTTTTGACATCATGAGATGAGTGGAAACCAAGGGCAGTAGAGTTAGAGCAGCTCCAAAACTTAGCTTTGTATGGAAGCCCTATCTCAGACAGATAGGTGAGAAGATAGTACAGTAGGCCCTCACATCGTGGAAAGGATCCATTCCAGGACTCTTCTCCTAACTTTTGACATCATGAGATGAGCGGAAACCAAGGGCAGTGGAGTTGGAGCAGCTCCAAAACTTAGCTTTGTATGGAAGTCCCATCTCAGACAGATAGGTGAGAAGATAGTATAGTGGGCCCTCACATCGTGGAAAGGCAGTGGAATGGAGCAGCTCCAAAACTTAGCTTTGTATGGAAGCCCCACCTCAGGCACATATGTGAGAAGATAGTAGAGTAGGCCCTCACATCATGGAAAGGATCAATTCCAGGACTCTTCTCCTAACTTTTGACATCATGAGATGAGCAGAAAACAAGGGCAGTGGAGGTGTACCTGCTCCAAAACTTAGCTTTGAATGGAAGCCCCACCTCAGATATTGGTGAGAAGGTAGTACAGTAGGCCCTCACATCATGGAAAGGAACCATTCCAGGACTCTTCTCCTATCTTTTGACATGAGCAGAAACCAAGGGCAGTGGAGTTGGAGAAGCCCTAAAAATCAGCTTTGTATGGAAGCCCAACCTCAGACAGATAGGTGAGAAGATAGTACAGTAGGCCTTCACATTGAGGAAAGGATCCATTCCAGGACTCTTCTATCTTTTGACATCATGAGATGAGCAGACAGATCTTAGCTTTGTATGGAAGCCCCACCTCAGACAGATAGGTGAGAAGATAGTACAGTAGGCCCTCACATCGTGGAAGGGATGCATTCCAGGACTCTTCTCCTATCCTGTAAGGGTCCTTCCACACAGCCCTATATCCTAGAATATCAAGGCAGAAAATCCCACATTATCTGAGTGTGGACTCAGATATCTTGAGTGTGCCTTGGTATTTTGAGATATAGGGCCCTAAGTCTGTACAGGTTTTCCCTCTTCACTAAGAAGTCCTCTGTACTTTTTCAAGGAGGCTAAAAACAGTTATGTCAATCATGACCATGGACTGTGATCCTTTATGGCTCAGTCCACATGTGGACCTATGCTAGGCAGAGCTCTACTTTACTGGACAGCCTTGGAAACGACCCACATGGCCATTCCTTGCTTTTGAAAAGCAGGCAGGGTTGCCCAAGTGTCTGACTATGTCCTGGTAGCATGATGCAAAAAGAGTAGAGAAGTAGTGAGACCTCCAAGGGAGTCTCTGCATTGACTCCCATCATTTTGCATGTGACCACGGGATGTAAACAGATGCTTCTGTGATCCTGCCCGCTCCTCCATGAAGCAGCAGGTTGGAAGGGAAAGCTTTGGTCATTGTGGAGAGAGCAAGGGAATAACAACTCTTGCAGCAGCCAAGAAAGGACATTCACATGTGTAAGGGAAACTCATGGGTGGCCAAGTTGCCAACAGGATGCCAGCCTTTGTGTTGGCTGGAAGCTTGCAGGACTTCTTACTCTGCTCAGGCTGAGATGGATTAGTGGCCTGAGCGAAATCTTGATTCCGATTGGTAACTGCTTCCTGTCTTGTGTATGACAGATTCTAGCTCCGAAGATGATGAAGATGAAGAAGAAGAGGACGACGACGAGGAAGAGGAAGAGGAGGAAGAGGCAGGCTATGGGATGGGCAGCAGCGACAGGCTTTCGCCACCCGCTTTGGACGAGAGCGGCTTGGGCCTGCTGGCGAGATTTGCAGCCAGCGCTATGCCGAGTCCCATCATCCCACCTTCCCTTTCCGTTATCCAGCTCGAAGCCAAGCAGAAAGCCAAGAAAAAGGAGGAGAGGCAGAGCTTGATGGGTACGTTCTGTGGATGCTTCCATAGCAATTTTTGTGGGTGGCATTCTGGGGTTTGTTTGTTTGTTTATTTATTTATTTACAGCTTTTATATTCCACCCTTCTCACCCCGCAGGGGACTCAGGGCGGATTATAATGTATACATATATGGCAAACATTTAATGCCAATTTTTGACAGACAAACATATACAGACATACACAGAAGCTATTTAACTTTTTCTGGCCGCCAGGGGAGCTGTTGCTTTCATCGTCCATCTGCGACGCTGATGAAGCACTTCCACATTCCCCGCATGCTTCCCCGCTGGAGTGCTTTGCTGGCCTCATAAATTAGTTAATTTATCCTCCCCACACTTTTTTAAGGTGGTACCTAATTTTCTTGACAGATGCAACTGTCTTTCGGGTTGCAAAGGTCAACAACAGGCTACACACAATTGGTTGGAAACCCACTCCAACCCGAGCTGGCTTCGAACTCATGACCTTTTGGTCAGAGTGATCTTAATGCAGCTGACACTCAGCCAGCTGCACCACAATCCTGGTGCTTGGTTGTATTAAGGGCATTTTTATCCTACCTCTCACTTATGGTATCAAAGGCACATGGTAAAAATAATTTGAAAGACATTAAACTGATAAATGCATTGTCTTCCAAGTTCTGTGTCCTGGCGGTGGGTCCATAGGTGACTGTGGAGCCCTATTCTTGGCCTGCATGTTCTCCCATAGTGAGGGCATCGGTTTCCAGGTGGAAGGTGGTCCCGGTCGGGGTTGGCTTGACGCACCTTCCTCTTGGCATGTTTCTCTCTTTCGCCCTCCATTCGTGCCTCTTCAAACTCTATAGCACTGCTGGTCACAGCTGATCTCCAGCTGGAGCGCTCACAGGCCAGGGCTTCCCAGTTCTCAGTGTCTATGCCACAGTTTTTAAGGTTGGCTTTGAGCCCGTCTTTCAATCTCTTTTCCTGTCCTCCAGCGTTCTGTTTTCCGTTCTTGAGTTCGGAGTAGAGCAACTGCTTTGGGAGACGGTGGTCAGGCATTCAGGCAACATGGGCGGTCCAACGGAGTTGATGGCGGAGGACCATCGCTTCAGTGCTGGTGGTCTTTGCTTCTTCCAGCACGTTAACATTTGTCTGCCTGTCTTCCCAAGAGATTTGCAGGTTTTTTTGGAGGCAGCGCTGATGGAATCGTTCCAGGAGTTGCATGTGACGTCTGTAGACAGTCCACGTTTCACAGGCATATAGCAGGGTTTTGAGGACAATAGCTTTATAAACAAGCACCTTCGTCCTCCAATGTATGTCCCGGTCCTCAAGCACTCTCTGCTTCATTCGGAAAAATGCTGCACTCGCAGGAATTTTTTGGAGGCAGCGCTGATGGAATTGTTCCAGGAGTTGCATGTGACGTCAGTTGACAGTCCACGTTTCGCAGGCATATAGCAGGGTTGGAAGGACAATGGCTTTGTAAACAAGCACCTTGGTCTCCCTATGGATGCCCTGGTCCTCAAACACTCTGCTTCATTTGGAAAAATACTGCACTCTCAGAACTCAGGCGATGTTGTATTTCAGTGTCAATGTTGACTTTTGTGGAGAGGTGGCTGCCAAGGGAGAGGAAATGGTCAACATTTTCTAATGTTATGCCATTAAGTTGTATTTCTGGCATTGGGGAGGGATTGGCTGGTGACTGCTAGAAGAGCACTTTAGTTTTCTCGATGTTCAATGGCTTGTAGGTCTTCTTCTTCTGAATGCGCACATTAAAACAATGGATGTGGCTCTTAATGAGACATTCCACATTATCTCAGGATGTCTATGTCCAAAACCTCTGGAGAAATTACACTGTTTTGGCCGGTATTGCACCACCTGACATCCGCTGGGAAGAAGTAGCCTGTAATGAAAGAACCAAGGAAGTGACATCTCTGGCCCATCCCCTGTTTGGATATCAGCCAGCATGCCAACGAATTAAATCATGAAATAGTTTCCTAAGATCTACAGAGATACTCACAGGAACACCTCAGCAAGCGAGAGTCCAAAAGTGGCAGGCTAAAACCTGGAACCTTAATCAGTGGCTGAAACCAGATGAGAAACTCCTCCCGGACACACAGAAGATTGGGCGACTTGGAAGGAGCTGAACAGACTGTGCTCTGGCACTATGAGATGCAGGGCCAACCTTAGGATATGGGGCTACAAAGTGGAGAGCACCACATGCGAGTGTGGAGAAGAGCAAACCACCGATTACAATGCAGCCTGAGCCCTGCCACATGCACAATGGAGGACCTCCTCACAGTGACACCAGAGGTACTTCTGGTCAAAGGACATTTAGCATCACGCCAAGTTTTTAAGTATTTAGTATAATACCAAGTAAATAAATAATAAATAATATTATTAAAAATAAACAATTGAAATAGTTAAAACCAATTAGAAACCTAGCTAAAACCAAAGCATGCCCTGGTTTGATCTTAAAATATTTATTATTATTATTATTATTATTATTAATTGCATTTCTATACCACTTTTCTCACCCCCGGGGAGACTCAAATCAGTTTACAACATAATAAATGGCAAATTTAATGCCTCACATATATATAAAAATGTCACATATCTAAATCAATAACATATGCAATCTAAAATTGACTTGAAATAGAGTCAACCCCTCCACATTCTGTGGAATTAGGGGTGCAGAACTGCATTAAACCATAAAGAAGAAGAAAATATTTTTTTAGCTCAGAGGAGACCTCCTAAGGACTGTGTAGTGCTGTGCGATGAGCAGCAGAAAGAGGTTCTTGTGAGTTTTTTCGGGCTATAGGGCCATGTTCTAGAGGCATTTCTCCTGACGTTTCGCCTGCATCTATGGCAAGCATCCTCAGAGGTAGTGAGGTCTGTTGGAATTAGGACAATGGGTTTATATATCTGTGGAATGGCTGGTGTGGGGCAAGGAGCTCTTCTCTGCTGGAGCTAGGTGTGAATGTTTCAACTGGTTCAAGCCACGAGAGTAACCACCATGTCAGACGACACAGAGAAGCCATTGAAATCCACAAGCATGTGGACAATTTCAACAGAAAGGAAGAGACCATGAAAATGAACAAAATCTGGCTATCAGTATTAAAAAACTTTAAAATTACAACAGCAAATCAGCAGAGAAGAGGAAACAACCAGGCACATCTTAACACCTCTCAACAAAAGATTTTCCCAGGCTCAGCCAGGCCTTCAAATGCTAATGAAGGTGGTCAGTTGAAACATTCACACCTAGCTCCAGCAGAGAAGAGCTCTTTGCCCCACCGCAGCCATTCCACAGATATATAAATCCATTGTCCTACTTCCAACAGACCTCACTATCTCTGAGGATGCTTGCCATAGATGCAGGCGAAACGTCAGGAGACATGCCTCTAGAACATGGCCCTATAGCCCGAAAAAACCCACAACAACCTAGCAGAAATAGCCTTCTGCAATCGGGAAGCCGGCTGAAGGGTGGGAGCCCTCTTGTCTCGCTCTGCCTCCCTTTATGTCTTACCACCACCACCACCACCCTGCACTCGATGAATAATTGAAATCTCACGTTTTAATTCCCCGGTGTGCCCGTGGCTGCCAAAGTGCCCCCAGGGCGACATCTTTCCAAGTCAGGCAAGGCTGTAAAAGGCTCCATTTATAAACCCCTCTATTAATATGTATTAAATGATAATGGAATTTATGGGGAGCTTCAGAATAGAAAATGATGTCTTTCCATGGGAGGCTAACCTATTTTTAGCTTATCTTGTCTACCTGCTCTATCAGGCGCGTTGCAGGTCTCTCGCAGCTCCCTGTCTCCCAACATTAATTTAATTGAATGGGAATCTTGAGTGGTGTGGGCTGCCGGAGGGAGTTTTCTGGGGTCCAATTGTCAGACCTTTCACAGGTCTGTTCAGAGTTTCCAGAGTTTAGAAAAGGTGCTCAAGATTTCCCTAATCATTAGGAAGACTTTCCGGTCATTAGAATCCATTAGTTTGTGTTCTAATCTTCGGGCAGCAGAAAACATGCTTGCTCCGTCTAATAATAATAATAATAATAATAATAATAATAATAATAATAATCCATTAGTTTGTGTTGTAATCTTAGGGCAGCAGAAAACATGCTTGCTCCATCTAATAATAATAATAATAATAATAATAATAATAATAATAATCCATTAGTTTGTGTTCTAATCTTCGGGCAGCAGAAAACATGCTTGCTCCATCTAATAATAATAATAATAATAATAATAATAATAATAATCCATTAGTTTGTGTTGTAATCTTAGGGCAGCAGAAAACATGCTTGCTCCATCTAATAATAATAATAATAATAATAATAATAATAATAATCCATTAGTTTGTGTTCTAATCTTCGGGCAGCAGAAAACATGCTTGCTCCATCTAATAATAATAATAATAATAATAATAATAATAATAATAATAATAATCCATTAGTTTGTGTTGTAATCTTAGGGCAGCAGAAAACATGCTTGCTCCATCTAATAATAATAATAATAATAATAATAATAATAATAATCCATTAGTTTGTGTTCTAATCTTCGGGCAGCAGAAAACATGCTTGCTCCGTCTAATAATAATAATAATAATAATAATAATAATAATAATAATAATAATCCATTAGTTTGTGTTGTAATCTTCGGGCAGCAGAAAACATGCTTGCTCCATCTAATAATAATAATAATAATAATAATAATAATCCATTAGTTTGTGTTGTAATCTTCGGGCAGCAGAAAACATGCTTGCTCCATCTAATAATAATAATAATAATAATAATAATAATAATAATCCATTAGTTTGTGTTCTAATCTTCGGGCAGCAGAAAACATGCTTGCTCCGTCTAATAATAATAATAATAATAATAATCCATTAGTTTGTGTTGTAATCTTCGGGCAGCAGAAAACATGCTTGCTCCGTCTAATAATAATAATAATAATAATAATAATAATAATAATAATCCATTAGTTTGTGTTGTAATCTTCGGGCAGCAGAAAACATGCTTGCTCCGTCTAATAATAAT